AAAAAAAAATTTTATAATAAAATTTTATTTTTTTTTTTTTTTTTTTTTTTTTTAATTAATGAGAACCCTAGATATATACCAAAATAGAGCCAGACGAAATGCGAGTTTGCTAAAATATCGAAATAATTTGTCTGTCAGCTATTTCGGCCACCAGAACGAATATGATTTGATTCTTATCAAAACTATTAGATTAACATAATGATAAGTGAGAATTAACATATTGAGAATTAAAGAGCAAAGTCACAATTACCAATATTTTCCCACTAAAACTTTATTATTTAAACGCTATTTCTGAAAAATGGACTGCTATGAATAATTATGTCTGAAATAATTATTTTATAATTTAACTTAAATATTTACATTGATTTAGCCCTAGGAAACCTACAGTTCCCTTTCGTGGAACTTCGAACTGCGTCCTCTAGGGGTCGCTATGGGGAACGCCTCGTCGTGACCCGTGTCTGAAGCCTACATTGAAAAAACACCAACTTGTTTGGCCGGCGACAGCCATGACGTCACTACCGTCGCAACTAGTACAAAATAGGCGCCGGTAGCGCACATCATCACTTTCTTCGTCTTCACTGACCGTTCTGTTTGAAGCGTGCATTCCAAAAGCAAAGTAAGAGTATTTCTTTTCCTACTATGGCGAGCACTAGCGGAGCGTTTAGAAAGTGTGTACATCCGTGTCAGCGGTTTCTGACACCCGATGATTCACACGATCTATGCGTTGTTTGTTTGGGTGAGGAGCACGCACGCGGTGTCTTCGAGGAGGCAATCTGCATGCATTGTGAGAGCTTTTCGCTGAAAAAGCTCCGTTCTCGTTTGTCTCTCTTCTCGAGTGGAGAGGGACACCCATCGGTTTCCCGCGGCTCGGGACCTGCCGCTGCTGAGGCACGGAGGAGAATGAGCTCATGGGGATCTCAGGTGGACCTAGCCGGTGAGGCTGAAGGGGGGGTTCCCCTCTTCCGCGCATCGGTGTCGGGCGAGAAACAGCCACTGGACGATGATATCCTCTCTTTGATATCACCTGATCCAGGGGCCAGTGCTCAGCTGGGCCCAGCCCAACAAGAGCAGGAAATGGATGCGGAGAGTGAAGAAGCTGAGGCTGAGCTTTCCCAATCCACCTGCCCTGCGTATGATGAGCTGTTAGAGGTGATGGATCGGGCCACGGCAAGGCTCAAATTGCCGTGGAAACGAGTCAAGGAGGTGACGTCGCGAGGTCGCCTCGACGAACGAGGGGAACGAGACACTGCGTCCTCTAGCTTTTTGTGCCAAGCTGCGGACACAAGCTTCAGACGAAGAAGTGATGATGTGCGCTACCGGCGCCTATTTTGTACTAGTTGCGACGGTAATGACGTCATGGCTGTCGACGGCCAAACAAGTTGGTGTTTTTTCAATGTAGGCTTCAGACACGGGTCACGACGAGGCGTTCCCCATAGCGACCCCTAGAGGACGCAGTGTCTCGTTCCCCTCAGGGAACCATGGTTACATAAGTAACCCGAGACGTTTTTCTTTCAAATATATTGGCGTTTGTTTTGTGTGGATATATTCATACATTAATTTTCCATCAATTTTACCATGATGAATAAGCATAGGATAACAGCTGATTTACGACCAATTTGATAGTACAACGCACTAAGGGGGGCAAAATGCGACAGTCGTACACAAATATCGTATATAGTGGAAATGCAGCTTAAGGTGGAAAAGAAAAGTCATTTGAGAGGAAGAGTAAGTTAGAGATTGCAAAAAGTAACCATAGCTGGCTAATATCAACAAGAAACTGCTTCTGACCACAGGTCTAGGGCTGTAGTACCAACCACACAACTTTGTGATACTGTTTGAGAATGTCCGTTGGAAATATGGTTTTGAGAATTTGTTGAACTATGTTGGTAACTATGGAATTTGAGAATACAGTGGGCTAATACAGGTTTTTTTTTTTTTTTAGTGGACAATTAATCATTGACAATAAAATCTGAAATGTGTCAATTTTATTTCATTTTAGCATTTTAAATTGCGTTGTGAGACTATTGATGCAAAATGCATGTCGCCCCCACAGGTTCCCCCAAGCGGAGGCAGTTCCAACGGCAGCGTGCAGCCAGCGAGAGCATGGACCAGGAGGAGCATGACGCCCATCATATCGACCTCATCCAGTACATCTCTCGCACCAAGGATGTCACCTACTGCCCCACCCGGGCCAGTCCACGTCTTCTATCCCCCCCTTCCACACCCCCACCCTCACTCGGCAGGTATTTTTAATTGCCTCCCCCATGCATTTGCTATAGCAACCATCTGCCTCACCACGCCTCATACAGCAGACCCCATTCCATGCTGGACTAATCTCAGCGCGCTGGTCGCATTGCCTTATCATGGCATCATCAGCTTACAGTGCAAAAAGCTTTGCTTTAGATTTGGAAGTTGTTTCATTGGATTTGGGTAAATACCACAGGTGTACCATTTGGTATTTTTCTTTTGGTATTGTTTTGCATTTGTTTTGCAAAATGGGCCAAGAAGGACAATACACATGTTTATGAACATCAGTAAATTTGTTTATATTTGCTTATCTATTGCAACTGACTTTCCTGTATATTTTCCTTTCGCGGTGTACTGGTCTCTTCAAATGAACCATCACAGAGTGAGTCACAACCATCTGTGTGCTAATGGAGGCATCTGTTTTAACATCTCTGAATCTGGACTCGAAGCTTTAATGGAAAGGAAAATAAATAAACATATTTGACATACACTAGAGTTCAAACGTTTGGGGTCACTTTTATTAAATAAGGGCACATGTAAGGGATCAAACATGACATTAAAGGCATTTATAATATACAAAAGATTTATATTTCATAAGAGTATGATTTATGTTTCATTATAAGAGTAACTTAAACTTAAAGTAACTGTAACTTAAAAATTGTACCAATCCCAAATTGTTGAACAGTAATGTAGACCTACAGTTACATAAAACATGATGTTGTGCTATGTTGTGGCATTTTCTAATGAAATAATATAGTAGGGATGGTCCACAGTGATTAACTACTACCAACTAGTTTAGACTAGTTTTTTTTTTAATTGTTTTTGGAACATTGTTTTTTTTATTTTAAAATTTACATTTTATATAAATGTTATATAGTGTGAAAATATAAAAAATATATATAAAAGTTTATTTAAAAGTTAAAACTTGCTGAATCTGGGGTCAATGCTTTAATAAAAAGGAAAAGTTAACAAATTATTTGACAGACCCACACTGACATAAAACAGATGTCGTGCTACATTAAGGCATTTTCTAAAGAAATACTGACTATATTTAAGAAAACGAGCTTGACTGATTTCATATGTGTACTGTTCTTTAGGTTAGAGGTGGAGGTGATGGTGGAGCCCAGCTGCAGCAGAGCGATGGGTCCCGGGGTGATCGGCCTCACCTCTGAGCCCCCGGATGAGAGTCTTGGAATGGGCTATCATCAGGAGAGTTTAGAACCTCAAACTTTGTACCGTGATATCTGGACTCTTCGTGCCTCCCTTGAGCGGTATGTCTCATCCGACCAGAGCAGCAACAATGACAAAGACTCCGTCCGTAGTGACGCAGACAGTGTGTGCTCTTTAGTGGGTAAGACCGAGATGGGAGGGCTGCCTAGGTACCCCTCACAGGATATCGGGGATGAGATGGAGGGGGATGCGGACTTGCCTCTAGATGAAGGACCAGAGAAAGGTCGCAAACAGGATAGTGTCGATTCTGAAAGGGGAAGTGACGGGGAGCCAGGAAACCGCAAGTTGCTCCAAATGGACAGCGGTTACGCCTCGATAGAAGCACCTTTGCGTGCTCCCGAGGAGTTGCGACTGTTTGGTAGCAGCAGTAGCAGTAAGGATGGCTCCGCCGTGGAGCGCAGGCACTTCTTCAGTTCCGGTCACAAAGGGACCGTTTGCGAGAGCTTCGACACGGACATCTTCGACGAAGAACTTGAAGAGGAACCGGCAGGTGCCAGGGGCGGTGTGGACGGAGTGGAAATGGACGAGAGCGCCATGCTCTGGTCCCCCTACGGCCAGATGTTCGTTCAACGCGACGCTCAACCTCATCCCCCCATCCTTTCCCGCCGCGACTACAGCATCGATGAGAAAACTGACGCACTTTTCCACGAGTTCTTGCGGCATGACCCGCAGTTCGATCAGCAGGAGTCTCCACTGCGCTCCAAGCATCGTTCCCGCGTTCACCTGCGCAAGCAGTGGCAGCGCTCAAAACAGTACAGCGACCCCGGCCAGCGCTTCCAATCCTCTTTTGACCGGTACCGCACTCCGCTCCGACGTGGCGAAACTGTCAACTATCCTCTAGAGACTAGCTACCACAGCACACTCCCACGAATCATTAGTGCACCTGACGAAGAGAGCAGCGAAGGTGCAACCAGTACTCCCGAGACACTCAAGGCAGATCAGGATACCGCTACTGACTTGGATCCCGACATAATAAGAATACCTTCCAGCACCGAAAGCAGCGGAACCATCAACGAAAAGGAAGTCCTTGAGGCATCGCAGCCCCCTCTGATGAATGACATTGCTGGAGAGCAATCGGTGGGCCAGGAGAACTCTAGGCAAACGTTGCCACCGCCTGAGCCTCCTGATGAACATACACCCAAATGTACAAGCTATGGCCCACAGACAATCACAGAAGAGCTGAGCGACAAGCTAGCGGCAACCCTCGAAGAGCGGCTGTACTCAGATCTCCGCAGGACCAGAGAACCACCCGAGTGTAGTGCAGTGACTGTGACCTACACATCGCCTGATCACAGTCCAGTGTAGCATGTGGCTCCCTTCATCTCCTCATACAAGAACACTTCGTGGCAACTACAGGTCCAAAGATTTGATCGACATTGGCTCTGATCTGGAACAGGTTTGCTTTGGTCATTTAAATGGCGTTGAAATCATTGTCATTATGTCCTAGACCAGTGGTGTAGAGAGGTTTCTTCCATGCTCAGTGTTAAATAAATGGCTATTAAGGCTCATACCTCATGTTGCTCAACGCACCAAGTCTTAAACAAATGAAATGTCAAAGTCTGTTATTAAAGCTCTCCATTTAGCTACTCGTTGACTTCAAAAGCCAATATTTTCTCTGCACTAGGTAATCCACTGTGAAATTGGGTGCTATTAGATTAAAGATTGATTATATTTGTGATTGCATGAATTATATTGCAATGCTGCCTATCCAAATGTCTGTTCATAACCCAAATTAATATTATTTTCTTTTACTTGATTTTAAATGTACCAGCTAGTCCTCCATTCAGTTTTGCTTTCTGAAGTTGTAAAATACTCAATAATATTTATTATTAGCATCTGGGTTTTTGTTGTGTAGCTAAATCTGCTTTCAGTTTTAATCAAATTTTAGGGAAACAAATCCTATAAAATATAATCATAATTGGGATAAACTGTAGAAATTTCCTTGTATGGGTAGACATGTCTGCATGTCTAACCTGTATTTCAAAAACAAGAGCATATCTGAAACACCATGGCATTGGTCCCGTTCCTAAGCAAACTTAAGCCTTTCCCAATTTAACTTCACAGTGTTTGTAATTTAGGTTAAATAAAATGGGATTAGATGCACTAAATCAATAGGCATGTTAGCTTGTTCCCCACTGACAAGTTTGCAATCCATTATAAAGTGTTCTTTTCCTTTAATAGTGTTATTTTATCATTGAAGTACTGAATGGCTAAAACTGCCTCTTTGTGAGATACTATAATTTTATGACCATTGAATTATTACTATTGTGCTTTTCATCTTTTAATTGTATCATTTGTTCTGTATTGTTGATCATATCTGTGAGAATGAGAAATAGACCGAACGATTTTCGAGTATATAGTGCCAAATTGTTGTCAGGTAATACCAAGATTAAACAACAAAAACGCTGTAAGCAACAGTTGGGGAAATGGGGAAAGAAAAAAAAGTCCTGCAAAATAACGACCACAGATATGTCTCTCTAAGGGTATGAATCAGGCCTGAGATATTTTTATGATTTTCATTGTGAGAAGGGCATGCCTTTTCTTGCATGCATTTCACAAAATGAGCTCTGTGTGTTCGTTAGCATTACTTTTATGTGAAAATTACCAAGACGAGAATCCCTAGAGGTGGACAACTGCACATGCTGCCTTTGGACAGAAGCGTAATTTAAAATCATTAAAAGCAAATCCCACTGCCCAGCATAAGCAATTGTTGAATATCGGTACAAATGCCACCATTCACGTTGACCTGAATTATTCCAATAAAATGGGATTCTAGTATTCCCATCTGTCAGCTCACAGTATGGGCTACGTTCTGGATTGATCATTATGGGTTTGATCTTCTTTTAAGCATGCAAACAAAAAGTTTGTCCTTGGCAGATTCTCAACTGTGATGTGTTAGAAAGTCTATCATTGTGAAATGTGAGCGAAAAGGCCATTGGCCATATATAGAGGCTATTGATGTAATGAAGAAAAATGCTTGGGTATCATCCACAGGCTTTGTCTCACATTGTTTTGTGGCCTTTTAGGGTGATTGTTTGAGCTATTGAGTAGTTCTCTAAAAAGCTTCATGTACTATTTAGGGTGCATCTGAAGTGCCCTGTCCAGAAATAAAAGGCTTTCATTATCTAGGTGAACAATGACTGATGTGCATGGAGTAATTAACAATGCCAGAGAAAAGAGAGCTTTAGACTAGCTGATATTGTTGATTGATTGTTTCTGGTTAAATTATACACTACTGACCATCTCATATGATTAATATGGTGCCTTCCTGCGTGTTTAACATTTAATGGGATAGTTACCCAAAAATAAATAATAAATCGTTTTTCCAAAAAAGTCCATGCAATGAAAGTCAATGGGGTCCAAACATTGTTAATTGAATAGGCCAAATTACCTTACAGAGGTTTTTAAAAAACAGAAAAAAATCTGTTAATGCATTGCAGAAATATGAATCTGAAGTGTGGTATGTACATTGCATTGTCAAACACATGTACACCAGTATTAGCAATTACAAATCCAGTCTTTGGTTTTGATTAACCGTAATGCGTAACATGTCAGGGACATTGAAATTTGTACAAAAGAATGTAGAATTGTATATAAGCACAATGAGGTCCCAGAGCAGGCACTAGAATAGTCTATGTCTTGGATTGGACATAAACCTAGTTGGGACCTTTGGGTGATATGTGCACAATCAAATAGCCTGTCGGTTGATGGATTACTGTGTATAGATTTGCATGTGATGACAAATTATTGTTTAGCAGATCCAAAACGAAGCACCAAATGACAGATATTTTTTGTGTGACTCTGAGAATGAAAAGAAATAGACTTGGTACTGAAATATTGTAAAATATTTTAAGGAGTCTGTTATTTTAGAAGTTCTGCTTTGCTGACTTGATGAAATTTTTTGCCATATTTCCATGGACAAAAAGGATTATTTCTATTGCTGGCTATATTTAGATGAAAGAAAAAATATATTTATGTGCAAAGAAAAACAATCTGTAAAAACCTGCTTGACTAATTACTTAGTCAAAAAAAATTTATTAAAAAAAACAACTAAAAAGAGAGAGCGAGGCGTGCTTTCTGAATGTTTGTTTTGTTTACCTGGATCTCTTTGTTCTAGATCTACTGAGCCTTGAGGGACCAACCAATCTAAATGTTTATTTTCATGTTATGTTTTTCCAACTAGTCAATAAAGAATGATGCATTATGACTTTGCCCGAGTCCGTTTAGTTTTTTTCATCTCAAGATCAAGAGATTGTCAGCTCGCTCCGGCAAACATTTATCAGCACCTGTCTATGTTCCACCCTGCCGTTCTCCATTTTAGGTGCTGAAATATCCCTTTGGGAACATCAAATATTCATATCAGCCAAGCTAATAAATTAAAGATGGCTCTACAGTCATTATGATTCTAAATCAATAGCAACCCCGGGTAACCAGGGAGAATGGGGAAGGGCCTTTAGTTTACGCTTGTGATAACGACTATCAATCATTTGCGTGACGACACAAACAAAGACCACTGACACATCCTATTTATTCATGTCCCTGTGCTGTACTGAATGTTCCTCATCTGAATTGAAGATGACCCACCCTATGGAGGTCAAAGGCTTCTGAGATTCATTTCTCCATTGGAGACTGAATATTTGATCACAATTAAATTTGGCATTAAAGCTTGAACATACACAGTTAGAATAGTTGAACACATTGACGTCCTACTTTCACAGAAAGATACATTGGCTGTGTCCGTGAGCAGGTACTTGTTTGTACTTTCTATACAGTATTAACTTGTGTAGTATGAATTTAATCTGGACATACTATATGCATCATGTTGTCATGTGACCTACTATCGTCCATTGTATCACTTCACTGCCATTCAAAAATCCTCTCCCATGGCCTCACGGGATAGTAAATTGTCCATCAGATGCGCAGAATCTCACTTTAAAGATTAGGTCGCCCAGGTACGTTTCATGAATACCCTGAATTCAGACACACTATTCTTTTTAAATATATTTTTGTCTGATATATAGCAGGAAACGATGTGATTTCGGAGTGTGCATATTTCTTATTTAGGTTGAGAAATATTGAAGGGCCTTGACTTGCTTTCGTAATTAACGTAAACACAAGTTTCTAGTCATAAATTGGACATGAAACCCTCTCAATGTCACGCTTATGGACTTCTTTTGTGTTTACATTTAATTTTTGTCTTCATGCCCATTTTGAGTTTGACCTAGTTTTCCTCAGATTTCCATTGATTAGTTCATTCAGTTCACCTGTGTCCTGTTAATTTAGTCATTAAATGGAGCGACAGAGCTGAGGATTGCCCCAGAGCCAGAGCCTCATGAATCGTCTGACCAGGTGTGACAGCCGGCAACAATGCACGCAATGATGGATGTTACAGTGGAAAGAGAGGGTGCGGAGGAAAGCCCCGCCCACTGTTCCACTACTGAGGGTGAGCTAGAGCTGGACTCAGAGGGAAATATGGATTTATGTTGTGATATGCCTCTTCTTCCGCCATCCTGTGAATCTCCTATACCATCAGTCTGCCCCATCACAACCATGGAGGTTGCGCCCAAACTCTGTCTGCCCTGAACTATCTTTCTGTCCTGTCTCGAGCATTCGTTCCACTGTCCCTAGTGTTCCCGGTGCTGGGAGTAGCCATGGTGTGTGTGTGGGCAGCACACACCGTTCCAGAAACTCCAGACTGTCATGAACTCCCACCCAGCCTCCCTCTCCCACCTCCTCTAATTATTCTGCCATCTTCTTCCCTGCTGCATCCTGTCAGCCCTTCAGCTTACCCTGAGCCCACCATTGGTGATGTGGGTTTGCCGCAGGTCTGCCAGTCACCATCGGCGTTGTGGCTGGAGGACCCCTTGTCTCCACCTCCAGCTTCTGAGTCCCGGACTCCGCCTCGGCCCATCAACCCAGCGGATCCACCATGGCTCCAAGCTCCCTCCTCTCCACCGTGGCCCGTCAGTCCAACAGCTCCGCTGGGCTCCCTCGTCCCTCCGGCTCCGCCTTGGTCAATCGTCGACCCGCCATCGCCTCAGGACTCCACTCCTCTGGCTGCACCTCGTCGATCCGTCCCACTGGCTCTGTTGGGCTCCTCCCTCCCTCCAGCTCCACCTTGGTCCTCTGTCGCTCCTGCTCCACCACAGCCTTCCGGATCCCCGCCTATGCCCTTGGTCGCCTGAGCCATCTACTCCGCCTTGGCCCTCCTGATCCTCACCATCGCCCTGGCTCTATGGCTCTCCGTCTCTGCCCCGGGCTCCTCTCCCACCTGCTATGCCGCTGTTGGTCGGCCCCCTGGAGTCGTCAGCCCTTTCTCCACCATTGCTCCTCCCTCCATCGGCTCCACCGTGGGTCATCATGTTGACTGCGGTCTGGGTCCCCCCCTGGATCCTCCTGCTCCAAGTCCCTCCTGGCTCCTCCCTCCATCTGATCCGCCCTGGCTCCTCCTGTCTCCTTCTTCTATCTGATCCGCCCTGGCTCCTCCTGTCTCCTTCTTGGATCCTCCCTTCGTCGTCGCTGCCCTGGTTATCTGCCTGCCTCTCTTCTTGCCCTTTGCCACCACCTAAATTTATTTAGGTATATAAATAACTATGTAATACATTTTGCACATACTTCCCATCGCAAAAATAGCATTTATTTAAACAAAATTCTGGAATCGCCAGATAGCTGCCTATCTAGATAGCGGAGTGAATGTATACAATGGAGTGGATATGTTTATATGGTTGTCAATGAATGAGACACTACGTTTTATTCACAATTAATTTAATATTGAATAAATATCTTCTATACATTTTGGCTAATAATATTACCCCAAGAAATAGGCAAGAATGAACCTGCCGCACTCAATGACTTTTGTTCTTTCAGCAACAAAGCACTTGAACATGACAAACTAGTATTTACGATTTTAGAAGTCGGAAGTAGGAAATTTCCGATGGGTGAAGGTACCACATGAAGGTAACACTAATCTAGCAATGTTTAGTTTGTCAAAAAACATGAATCGTTATTTGCTACTAGACAGCATTTGATTGAACAAAAATGTATGTAGTGCAGGATGACATCATTAATTGACCTATCATCACAATTTGTTCAACATTCTGCATTTTAAATGGCCATTTAAAAGTTATTATCTATGCTATATAACTGTTATGCATATATAAATATATTAAGATAAATAGAATGTACACTATATATATACAGTATATATACAGTATCTATTAATGTATTTTTAGACCCAATTTGTAGGAATAAAAAAATAGCTCTGATAATTTGGTCTTGGTGGTTTATAATGACAAATATGTTTAATATTTGTATATGTTTAATATATGTGTACATTTTATTTTTCTTAAGAAACTTTATAAGAAAGAGCTGAGTAAAGAAAGAGCAACCTTTATCTTATCTCTTCCTTTCTGCAATAGTTCTGACGTCACATAAAGCGTATCATCTTCCATCTTCCTAGAAGGAAAAGTTGTGCATTTTAAATGGAATGCATTTTAAGTTCTTTTTCATTCTTGCTTGGGGGTAAAAAGAAGTTGTGCAGCGGTATACATCTCGATGCTGCCCACACCGCCAAAATTTGGCAAGCTGTTTTTAACGCCCAAAATGAACTCCAAACAAACTTCCTTTTGGCCTAATTTTGCTCAAAATGCAACACACCAGTTTGTTCTTCAATTTCACTTGAAGTATATCAGGGCCTAAGAGTTCATTTTCTCAACTTTTTAGTAGAACACTACCTAATAAACATGACCCAAGAGCCACAGCACACTTTAAATCTTGTTTGAGTAGAGGACTTTCTGCATCGTCACACATGCAATTTATTGAATTTTAAGCTAATTGAAACCTCATTCAGTCCTTTGGAAAGGAAAGCTAATAGAAGAGAAAGCCTCGGCTCACCCTTTCGAAGCTTGGCACTCATTAGGATGACTGTACCCTGTGAAGCGTGCTTGGTGTACATATGCACAGCTCGAGGCTACAGAATATGATGTAGTGACACTGACAGCACATATGGTTTCAGTGGAAAGCGTCTTCTAACGCTATCATTTCGTAGTGGTCTACTAAAAGCAGACTATCTCTTCAGCAAACTAGAGACGAGGGGATGGGTTGCTCTTGCGGACTTATCTGCACGTAGTTCATTTATTCCTAAAATGGAAGCGTCAACTGTGCCTAGAACCGCTGTGAGATTCGAACTCACAGGAACAAATGCTGTCTGAAATATCTCTGCTTCGTGAAACACAATATCCTGTGCAATCCATTAAGCAGAGATGGCCAGTGAGTCACCAGCAATGCACAAATTAATGGAGATGAAATGTAACTCACTCCCCACCCCATCAGCAGACAGAATGGTACTTCGCGAGAGCACAGCATCAACGTTTCAATCAGCCCATTCCCTTCTGCGAGGGAAAGAGAGCGAGAGATAAAATGTGTGGGAGACACCGGTGACTCAGACTGGATAAAACACACTTTTATCGGAAGGTCACTCAGGCTGTCCTCAACAATTAAGCTGTGCTAAAAATTTAAAAAACGGGTTGCTGGACTTTTTGACGTACCAGACTTCAGAAGCATCGGAATGTATCTGCCAAAAACAATCTGGTTCCCACAGTAAAAAAAATTCAAATGAGATCTCTTTCATATCTCATTTGTTTATCCAATATGTATATGTGTGTGCGTGTGTCTGTGTCTGTGTATGATATTTATTTATTATCTCTATGAGACCAAATTATAAGAGGTCTGCTATCTATATGTATTATATTTATAACAATTATATGGATTTATATAATATTTGAAATGCATTACAATATTTTCTTTAAATTCTACCAAGACCAAATTATCTGTGCTATATAACTGTTATGCATACACACACACACACACACACACATATATATATATTTGTATTTTATTTTTTACATATTTTTATATGAATCTATAAACACACACATATATTTATTACAAAACATACTTACAATTGTACATATTATTAATTAATTTGTATTATTTTATTAATACATTAATACAATTATTACAATAATTACTAATATTTCTCATTATAAACC